GGCTAAAGCAGTCACAGGTGCTAAATCGGGACATGTGTTACTGGTCACCCATGAGGTGACGCTTGAGGACAAAATCTCGATGAGAGATGTGATTTTGATGCAAGAAGCTGTTCCTGCTGTTGAGAAACAGCTTTGGATTGAAAGAGGTGCGAGTCAAGAGGCCTCAGGACTTTGGAGAAATCATGAAGGCCTGATGGTAGCACCTCCTGATTTACTAGGTCTCTTGATACAGGAAGCACATGGCCAGGCCCATGTTGCTAGGGGGGAAGTAAGGAGAAAACTCACAAGTGAGTATGGCTTTTGGGCACCAAATTTGCTACAGCAAATTGATCATGTCATTGGTAAATGTGTGATTTGTCTAAAAAACAATGTCAGGAGAGGAATATTGATTCCTCCTGGACATGTTCCGACTCCAAAAGGACCGCCTTTATCTTTGTTGGAAGATGAAATGAAAACTTATGTAAAGTACCTAGCTGCTTTGCACAACGACATTTGTACATATGTCAGAAATAGACCAGAACAGGAAGCACCTGTTGAACAAAAGAGTGATGTTTTGAAGCCAGGGGACAAAGTGTTTGTCAAAGTTTTCAGGAGAAAATGGTTTAATGAGCGTCGTGAGGGACCATATGAAGTGGTTCGTAATACAGGAACGGCTGTACAAGTCAAAGGTTCTCCTACGTGGTATCATCCATCTCATTGTGTCAAAGCACCGACAGAGGACACACCTTGTCTCAAGGTACTAGGACCCGAGGACTCTGTAGGACAGAAGAACGGAAAAGATCAGCTTCCAGATGGAGTTAACAATGACTCTGACATTCTTGCTGCTGATGGGATTGACATCAATGACACTGGAAACGACAATGCAGAAAATGAACAAGAAAGAAGATTTGACAACATTGACCTACAACATGCCCCAGGGACAACAGAGAGTCCCTCGCCGGAACTTAAGCCAACTGAGAGGCAGAAGAGCACCAGTAACACCCAGAGAAAATCGAGAAGAACAGTCATACCAGGCAGACCAAGGCCCAGTCGCCAGAGGATCAAGCCAAAGCGGTATCAGGGTTGGTGTTGTGGTGCCGGGAGGTCAAGCTCAGATGCCATTACTTAATGGTGACATGTCGGATAATGAGGTTGATGAAATGGATGAAACTCAGGAGGTTCTGGAATTGTATCCATATTAAATTGTTTGTTTAGGTGACACTTTGGGGGTTCTGTATTTGTAGGAATGAGTGCCATTTTATTTTGATATGAAGTTTTCGCATGTTTTTCTTAGTCTAAGGAGGTTAGAAATGTGTTTTTGTTTGGACTTTTATTTGAAAGGTAAGTGAATTGTATTATCGGTAGTTAGTCTGACTTTTGTTTGTTATTTTGGCAATTAAGCTCATTCTGAAGAGAAAAAGAAAAAAAAGAAACATCCCCTAAAGTTTTTTTTCACATTATTTACTCGATTTTATTTTCAACATTTATTCTGTTTTTGATTTTTACTAGAGAAAAGGAATATATACACTTCCTTGAAGATTTTGTTTTTATTTTTATCATGATTCACCCACTGTTTTCATTTTTCTTTGAAGTTTTTCATATCTTCATGATAGAGTGTTTTTAATACAAGGAGGTAACTATTATGTTTTGCACACTCTGAGTTAAATATATGTGATTACAGATGAGATTATCATTTGAGGAGACATGATAGTGATGATTGTTTTGATTTATGTTTAAGAGTGACTTTTATTTTGCAAAGGAGACTGCCGTTGTTTTCTGTAATTTCAGATGGACGCGGGTGATTCGGTTTTCAAATGGACTCTGGACACTGGACTCTTAACGCTCGATTAGAAGAACTCCGTGTACCTGCACGGACTCAAAAACCGGACACTGCTCTGAGTCTGGGATAAGATGAAGCATTGACTGTTTCAAGTCTACCTCAAGTT